TAAAACGTTTTATCAGTGTGGATCGAAGCAAACAGTCAATAAACGCCCTAGCTAGACAAAATATATATACATGTGATAGATACATAGTTCTCACCTTCCGAAATCCGTGAGTTGAGATTATGGGTGGCTAACGGGCCGGGTTGACCCGGAACCGGACCGGCCCAGACCGGTTAAAACCGGAACCGAACCGGCCCGGTTCATAAGGGGCCGGGTGGGCTGGGTTGGGGGGTATAGGGGTTTGTACCGTTTAAAATTTTCCACCGGTTAACCAGACCCGGTAAACCCGGTCCGGATGAACAGTACACGTAACCGGTTTAACGGCTAGAAATTTCTTTTTTTGTTTTTTTTTTAATTTTTGGCAGGTGTGGGTCCCATTGACCGTTGGCAACGGTCAGAAATTGAACTGATCCGTTAGCCAACGGATCAATTGCAAAAATAGCCATTTTTTATTTTATTTTTAACCCTTTTTGATTTTACAAAATTAACCTTCTCTAAAACTATAAATACCCCCCCCCCCCCCCCTCTTCTTCATTTCTCACTCAAATCTCATTTCTCTATCTCAATTTCTCATTCTCTTATTCTCCAATTTTCAAGACTTCAAGTCTTCAATTCATCATTTCATCTTCTAATTTTATTTGGCTCTCTTTTCTTGAATTTAATTTATCGTGTTTTATCATTCGGGTTTTGAAGTTTATACATTTGAACTTCAAATTGTTCGTGGTAACATCGGAATTGCGTAATCAAGTGCTCAATTTATTGTCCAATTCGGTGCACTCCCTCCAACTCTTTCTCTTATTTAATATTTTAATTGCATATTTATTTTGTGCTTATACTTTAATTTTCACAATATGTTTAACGCTGCTAAATGAGCGTGTAGAAAAGTTACTGGTAGAGGAAATAAAAAAAGAGGTAGTTCTTCAGCATCTGGTAGTAATAGTATCCCAATTTCTCTTGTTCCCGAAACATCGCCTAATGAAATATAGATTATGAACAATTACAAGAAGTTATGGAATAGAAGATGATGAATTAGGAATGGAAGATGAGATACCAGCTTACACCTACTAGTGCTGGAGTTGGTAGTGTTGGAGTTGCTACAAGGGGTGGTGGTCGTGGCACTAGTAGTAGACCACCTGTGGCTCCGACTACTAATCGTAGAAAAAGAAGTAAGGTTTGAAATTTTTTTGAAATAATTGAAGGTACTGATAGAGTTAGATGCAAACTTTGTAAAGATGATTTTAACATTTGACTGGAGGAAATTTAGGGGGAACTGGAACGCTTAGTAGACATATGAGAATTGCACATCCCATAGAATGGGGCTCTGATGGTGATGAAAATCAAGCAACTATTAACCCTACTACTGGAAGATTAATTAAATATGATAAAATGAAGGATCGTGAGAAGTTAGCAAAATGATTGCTTTTAGGTTGTCTACCTTTTCTTTTGCTTCTTCGTCATATCTTATTATGTATATTCAAAGGATTTACAATCCTTTATTTAAAGGTATCCCTAGAAGTACTTGTAGAGCTGATATCTTTAGACTTCATGGACAATATCAAACATATATACGTTATTTGTTTAGCCACCTTCCTTGTAGAGTTTCTCTAACTTCTGATATTGGTCATGCTGTTAATGGACGTGATTATTTGACAATTACATGTCATTGGATAGATGATACTACTTGTATGCAAAAACGTATTATCGCTTTTAGATATGATGAAGATTAGAGTCATACTGCTGCATTTATAAGTAGTACTATTTGTGAAGTTGTTGAATTTTATAATCTCAAGCAAAAAGTATTGTGTATGTCTTTTGATAATGCTTCTAAACAACAATGCCGCAATTTCAATATTAAAAATGCATTTGCAACCACCTCTTGATGAAATTTTCCATGTTAGGTGTGCATGTCATGTTTATAATTTAATTGTTAAAAGTGGCCTTGATTTATTTTCAACTGAGATTACTCATGTTAGAAGAGCAGTTGGTGTTATTCAAGGAAATAATAGACAATCTAGAATAAAGGAATTTAAGAATAAGTGTGTCCAGTATAACCTTCAACCTAGATTCATGCCAGACGAAATTATTACTAGATGGAACTATACATATATATTTTTAAAATGTTGCTACAAATATAGATTCCCAATAACTGAAGTTGCTAATGCGCATTGTACTGATCCAAGCCGTATGTTAACAACTACTACTTGGGAGGTCATTAATGATGTTGTTAAATTTTTACATAAATTTTATACAGCTACTGTTGAGTTTTCTGGAGCATATTACCCTATTATTACTATGGCTTTAGTACATATAGCTGAAATTTCTTTTCTACTCTTTGAATTTAAGAAGAAAGAAAAATATAAGGATGTTGTGGAAAAAATGCAAGCAAAATTCAAAAAATATTTCTTTTCAATTCCTCCGATTTACTTAATTGGTGCTGTTTTAAATCCTTCTATTAAGATGTCTGATTGTCACCAATTAATGAATGCTTTATATACTTATATGGAGATTGGAGAAACTGAAACCCCAAATTTATATGTTTCTATGAACAACCTAAATGATTATTTACAGAAATTATATAATTATTATGCAAATGTAATTGATGATGTTGCTCGTACTGTAGGCAATGTTAATCCTACTATGCAATGTAGCACTTCTGCTACTGTGAATGATGAAGAAGGCTTTGATGATAGTTTTAATATTTTTTCTACATTTTCTAACACTCAAACAAGTCGCAGGAACATTGATGAACTTCAATTCTACTTGCAGAAGCAAAAAGAGCCTCGCACAAAGGAATTTTCGCCGTTGGGATGGTGGCATGAGAACGGAAAGCAATTTCCTGTTCTTTTCGCAATGGCTCGGGACGTGCTGAATGTGCCAATTTCAGCTATTGCATCGAAGAGTGCATTTAGCCAAGAAAGACAACAACTTGGAGACACCCGTCACTCATTGGGAAGCAATGCTTTGGAAGTTTTAGTATGTTTCAGAGATTTGATTAGATCGGAAAGAAGAAATCAAGGACGTGAAGATGTTGATAGCCCAGAAGACGAGGAACTTGGAGATATATTAACACATGGTAACCCATCCGAATTTAACACTCCAGAAGAAGGTCACTCAGTTCATATTGATTATGACGAACTTACTAAGGCAATGCAAAACCTTTGAATTTACTTGTTGTTAAAAATGTAAGCCTTTCAATTTGTAAGTTTGAAATTTGAATTATGAAATAAAAGTAGCACTTCCAATAAGTGCAATTTTTTCTCATCTTCCTTGTATTCTTTAAATTAATACAAAGTATTAATATAACTTACAATAGTTATACAAAATTCCAAAAAAAAATTAAAAAAACAATAAACCCGGCCCGGCCCCCTCAACCCGTAACCCTTACGGTTCAATTTTTACCCGGATGAACCCGAACCCGTTAAACCCGTTAAGACCTAGTCCGGAACCAAACCCGTACGGGTTCAAATAACACAGGCCCGGCCCGGCCCGGCCCACCCGTTTAACACCCTTAGTTGAGATTCTCCTTCATACTCCACAAGAGCCACAGGTAACCCCTTTTTCTTAATTCAAGGCCGGCCTGGTAGATTTTTCGGGTTGGACAACCTGTAAACGTACTGCTTGGACGCAAGGGTGATTACACTTGCATAGCTCGTCACCGAGTTAATTAATCAGATAGAGATGCAATTGACTCCTAAAAGAGCAAGTTTTCATGCATGGGATGAGGTAGCACTGCAGATGTTTCTTGCATGCATATAAAGTATGTTTTAATACAAGTTTTTTCTGGTTCCTTTTTACTTGTTACAGTAATCAGTTTCCTGAGTTTACATTATTTGTTGTGAATTTAGGTATTTGCAGTTAAAAGACCATGAATGGCCTAGTTAAGAAAGAAGAGAAGAATCCAACTAATACTAAAACTACAGCGATACTCATCATCCAACATGCACTTATCCTGACTGCATTACCTGATCGGACTGTTACCTACAAATGAATTTTATCAACTATTTCTCAGGATGGCTCTAAGCATGTCCAGTCGCAAGTCGCAACCTGCCCTATAAAATATGGAATGAGTGATCTGAGATAAAAGAAAACCGAGAGATTACTGTTGGAACTGAGAATCATTCAAGAACCTTTGAATCTTATCAATGCACCATCTCTGATTTGTTTCACTCTCAACAAAGCGTCATCACCGAATTTCGTGTCTACTGCCCAGCAGGGAGAATGTTACTTGCAGATTATTATCCTTGCAGCATTCTGTTTAAAATTGTAGAACTTGTCCTATGTGTACACACGTATAGTTAATAAACAAACAGGGAATTAGCGAAGCAAGCTTGCGTTTCATTTCGAAATCAATAGAGAGCTTAATAAGGCGAGGAAACCACAAGTTCCCACACAAACGCAGAGAGAGTAATTGGTCATTCAACCAATATACACATGACACCCCAAATCATGAAATCATTATCGATTAAATTGCGACCATAACCGTTTTATCTATAGTTATTCTGAATATCGTGATTGCGTTCCATGAGTTTGATTGGTTTTTCTTCTGTCTGGGTCTGGTTCAACTAAATTTCTTTTAGCTTTTGGCAGAATACACTACAAGCACTTATCAAAGTCTGGAGTAAGAAATAATTTATGTAAAATGGCATGGATACAAAACATTCAGGAGCCTGATCTATACGCCTCCGCAAGTAAGTTGACAAATGTATAACGATCATCAGAGTTTGCAAGATCAGTAAGCCTTAATTAATTCAGTTTCACCCAAAAGTATAAATTTATATTTGGAGTAACTAAACTACTTGGAGCAGATGGAGCTGGCTCAACCTGGGCTTTGATCATGCCAGCCTAAACCAAGCCAGCTTGACTGAGTGTCCAAGCCTACTCGGAGCACATAAGAACTCCTGATCATACAGGCTAGCCATCCATACAAAAAGCCTAAGCTGAACTTGATTTCAACTAATTAAGAATCAATTTCTTCTGTGCGTCCATGGCAAAATAACGACTGATTGAGAATAGTAATAAAAGCTAATGCATAACTGAAATAGGAATAGCTCAGATACAATGCGAATAACGTATCAAAACTTTAAGGTGCTCGCAAAATCATGTAACTAATGTTGTTCTCTAATAATAAAATAAAGGGATATCACAGACTGCCATACTATCAAGGACAAGTAAATATAGAGCCAAGGCTCTTTAGAGTATCATCCTCACTTCTTTGACTTCTTAGATCCCCTGAAAGAAAAAGTTTCTATCAAAATTTGTTCCTAACTTCTAACAACCACCAAGAGAATAGCATTTGTTAGAAAACTTACTGGGCTGGCTGGGCTTGGGGGGCTGCTGTCGCTGCTGCAGGTTGTACTGGCCTCTCTCCAGGTCCCTGAGAATTGGAGAAAATACAAGCTTAAATCCCATGCACTGTCATTTCTAGGGAGGACAAAATTCATTGACTACGAGCCAACATAATATCAATGCAAAAACAAATAGTTCCTCCTCTCAAGTGTTAAACGAGACCACAGCTAAATTTACAACTTAATACCTGAGCCAAACGCTCCTCCCTCCTAGCAAACTTCCTTTCCCTGCTTGCTTTGTTCTTTGCCCTCCTGGCCTCAAATTGGTCGGACAAGGTCTTTTCTCTGGCCTTTTCAGCCTTTGTTTTATGAATGTTTTCCATTAGCACACGCTTGTTCTTGAAAACATTACCCTTCACCTTCATGTACATGTCATGGTACATGTGCCTGTCAATCTTCTTTGACTCCCTGTACTTGCGAAGCAATCGCCTAAGGACTCTCATCCTCCTCATCCATAGCACCTTTGTAGGCAACCTAGCTTCCCTGGTACCCTTGCGCTTACCTGGGCAAACAAGAAATGTCTTCAATATTGGGAGTCACCAAAACAAATTTCAGCAGCAAATTTTCATCCTAAAAAAAAAGATAGAAGCAACGCCTAAAATATCGAAACCATAACAGAAAGTAGGCTCATTTTACCTTTCAACTTCTAAACAAGAAGTATAAAAACAAGTTAAATTGGTCAACACACAAGTCAACCCACAAACTACCTTCTGATGAGAACTAGCACCACGTAACAAAAAGAGTTACTCTAAATTATATAGGGTAGTAGTCATTGCAAAGGTTAGTAGTTACCATATCCAGAGTGACGGCCCTTCCTCTTGGCTTCCTTCATTCTACGGGCACGGGATCTTGAGTGAATTTTGGTTGGTTTTCTGATGATGAAACCATCCTTGACCAACTTTCTGATGTTTTGCCCTGCACTCAATGCAAAACAAGGGAATTATAGGCATTCAATTTGTTTAGTGACTGAGAAAAAGGTATTAACAACACACTGCCATTGTCAAAACTGCAACTCCTCGAATGGCAATAGATAGGAGATGATCACACAGGGCGTGCAAAAGCTAAAATATCTCGGCTCAAGCAATATGTTCAGATTTTCAGAAAATGGTCAGACCATTAAATAAATGAAATACCCCACTCAATCCCTATTTCCATTTCATATCCTAATAACACCAAAACCTAACTGGCAGTGATACTACATTTTTGCTGTCATGAAAAAAATTTACCCTATTGAGCACAACCTGCAATTCATACATAGACTACGCCAATGTATGAAAATTACCCACTCGAAAATAAGTAATCTCTTGAACTTTGGTTAAAAAACTAAGCCTCAATCTCAAACTAGTCACCATAGGCTAATATGAATCCACTATAAGGTGCAACTCTATTTCAGTTCATTTCACACCAATACTCGTAAAAATAGTCTTTTGAGACAATTAAGGGTTCTCTAAAACTAGAAGTTTGTCGTGAAATTTAATTAAAGGAGTAAATTAGGTTCAGATCTAATTCAACATCTAGTGTTAGGCAAAAATAGGTAAAGTGAAAAAATTTCTAAAATAAAATAATTTTAATGTTTAGAGGAGCTAAGCTAAATAGGTAATGAATGGTAAAAAAATACTCCTAAGAAAGCAACGTACTGGAGTTGGCCATGGAGATCTCGTTGCCTTCATTGGGGTCAAGCCAGACCTTTCCCCTCCCACACTTGAGGACGCTGGCCGCTAGCCTCTTCTGTAGCTTCAACGACACCATCTTCCTTTCTCCTCCAACCTCTGTTCTCGCAGCTGCAGTGGTGATAACGTGGTCTTATACACAGAAATGCCTTAGGGTTTTTCTGAAGAAGGCTTATGCTTCTTTAATGTTTAAAAAGAGACTGGGCCTCGTACTAATGGCCCATCTTAAATGTCTTGGCCCATGAAATTGTTCGCCTTTAAGTACAAAAGGTCTTTATAGGGCTTTAGGCATGGTATAGCAACATACTCATATAATTGGCAAAAAATAGCCCTAATTATAGATATTAACATCAAATAGCCAATACATGTATATCGCAATAGTAATATGTATATCGCAACTTTTTTCTTCTTCTTTGTCTATACGAACAGGTATATTAAATTTTTATTTTCATTCTTTATGTATAAATAATATTATTCTTTGTATATCAATAATGTAAAATTCGAAAAAGGGCCTGATCTGTTCCTCTACTATGATAAATTGTTTAAAGTTGTCCTCCGTTATACTATTGGGCCATAAAACTCTCTGCCGTCTTACTATCCTAACAAATATATCCTTAATTAAACGGAGGTGACATGTGGCACCCATCCGTGCCCTTTTACATTTGAGCACATATTAAGCGACCCGCCCCACGAAACCCGTAACAATTAGTCCATCCCGGTTCTTTTGTAATACCCAATACCCTCAAACCCACCTAAAAAGATGACCCGATTAAAACTTGTCCAGCAAATAAGTCTATTTTTTTTTCTTTTGTCTCTTTTGTTCATCTTTCTTTTCCACTCACCTCCGCCTATGCACCACCAGCGATGAAGTCATAACTGCCAATGCACACTTTCTACACATGTGTTTAACAAAATCAAAACTCAATTCTCCTAAATCAAATAAAAAAGGAAATATCTTCTCAAATCTAAATGATATTCATATCTATCCTTAAAATTTGGCTACCCCCAATCTGTACTGATCCACTTTCTCCATTATCCAATATAGTTTGGCTTAGGTTCTCAGACATCATAGTTAGAAGTCCTCACAAAGAACTTTAAGCAAAATTAAATCACTAATTGGTTCACTTAGTGGCAAAATTTGTCCGAGAATGGGTGGAACCTCCAAGGCCGTCGATGTCAAGTTTGCCGGATTTATTTTTTCAGATTCATGGAACTTGGGACAGTAAATTGATCGGAGTTCCTGTTCACCACCAACATAGTTTGGAGCATTTTTGAAGGACTTCCAACAGTTGAAACGAACCGAAATCTGAGATGTCAGTATATCCAAGCAAGAGGAAGAGATCTCTCGGTTCACATCTTCATTTCGAGCATTTTTTACTCCCGATTCGTTGGTTGCCGGAGGCGATTTAGAAGAATGGTGGATGCTCGAGTTAGGTATAAATGGGTTTAGTAGCCGGCTGCGATTCTAGTACTAATATGTGTTGCGCTTGTTGTCTGTAAAGATTTGCTGCCGGAATAATGGCTTTGGTTGCCGGTGATTTTTGACAGTGAAAGTGAAGTTCACCATTTTTATCTTTTGATTTTAGTGTGTTATTTTTGTGGTACTAATTTTATACTTAGAGACTAATGAATTCATAAAAGACAGATGAGTCTTTTTCTAGGTGGGTTTGAGGGTATTGTATTATAAAACACGGGTTATGGGTTATGGGTTATGGGTTATGGTTATGGGTTTTGTGAAGCGGGTCGGTTAATTTGTGCCCAGATGTAAAAGGGCACGGATGGGTGCCACGTGTCACATCCGTTTAATTAAGGATAGATTAGTTAGGATAGTAAGACGGCATGGAGTTTTATGGCCCAATAGTATAACAGAGGACAACTTTAAATAATTTATCATAGTAGAGGGATAGATCAGACCCTTTTCCGTATAAAATTATATATATAGTTATTGCTGCATTTATATCAATATATATCACAATAAAATATTGTATTATTTGTATATCACAGTGTATAACATAATAATAATAATAATAATAATAATAATAATAATAATAATAATATTAATGTGTATATCAAAACAATTTATTAAAATATTATTTTTCTTCTTTGTATAACACATTTAAGATTGAAAAATCAAGTTCAAGACGACTCCACATGTGTATCCCCTATTGTAAACCGTGTATATCTCTATGTACATCAGTGATATCTCATGTATATTATGTGTACCTGTGTATATCCATGAAAATTTATGTTATATATACGATATACAATGTGATATACACAGGCGTCCATGAAAACAATTGTGTTGTATACCGATATACAAAGTGATATACACGTACGTCCTTAAAAACTTGTGTGTGATATACACTTATGTACACGATATACAACGTGATATACACATGTCGTAGTTGGATTCTTAGGTCTGATTTTTTACCTGAAACTAGTCTAAATCACTTCTAATCTTGGTCAAATTTTGTATATAGCCTCGTTTAGGTATTTTCAACCATTTCAATCATACCCACTCATTCAATCCAACCAAAAAAAGGAAGAGAGAAGAAAAACAAAGTTGAAATATATTTTTTCTCTCTTAGTTTTTGCTAATCTTGCTCAAATTTTGTATATAGCCCCGTTTAGGTATTTCAATCAATTTCAATCGCACCCACTCATTCAATCCAACAAAAAAAATGAGAAAAGAAAAACAAAGTTGAAATATATGTTTTCTCTCTTAGTTTTTGCTTCTGATTTTCTCTGATGTGAGATCAACCTTACCTTTTCATCCAATTAATTTTTTTTTGCATAATTTGCAAGAATTTTTGCTAAACTATGAGAGCAAAAGAGAAGAGATAGAAGAAGAAATACAAGGAGAGAAAGGGGGAGGGAAGCCAAAATAAGCGTATAGTTTTTTTTTAGAGAGAATATAAAAGAGAGTAGTTTTTTTTAGGATTTGGCTATATAATGTCAATTGTTTGGGCTATCTTTGTCAAACCTAATATAAGGCTGGAAAATTGTCAATTCCTATTATGGGGGGTTTTGGCATGGTATAACAACATACTCATATAATTGGCAAAAAATAGCCCTAATTATAGATATTAGCATCAAATAGCCAATACATGTATATCGCAATAATAATATGTATATTGCAACTTTTTTCTTCTTCTTTGTCTATACGAACAGGTATATTAAATTTTTATTTTCATTCTTTATGTATAAATAATATTATTCTTTGTATATCAATAATGTAAAATTCGAAAAAGGGTCTGATCTGTCCCTCTACTATAATAAATTGTTTAAAGTTGTACTCCGTTATACTATTGGGTCATAAAACTCCCTGCCGTCTTACTATCCTAACAAATATATCCTTAATTAAACGGAGGTGACACGTGGCACCCATCCGTGCCCTTTTACATCTGAGCACATATTAAGCGACCCGCCCCACGATACCCATACACATAACCCGTAACAATTAGTCCATCCCGGTTCTTTTGTAATACCCTCAAACCCACCTAAAAAGATGACCCGATTAAAACTTGTCCAGCAAATAAGTCTATTTTTTTTTCTTTTGTCTCTTTTGTTCATCTTTCTTTTCCACTCACCTCCGCCTATGCACCACCAGCGATGAAGTCATAACTGCCAATGCACACTTTCTACACATGTGTTTAACAAAATCAAAACTCAATTCTCCTAAATCAAATAAAAAAGGAAATATCTTCTCAAATCTAAATGATATTCATATCTATCCTTAAAATTTGGCTGCCCCCAATCTGTACTGATCCACTTTCTCTATTATCCAATATAGTTTGGCTTAGGTTCTCAGACATCATAGTTAGAAGTCCTCACAAAGAACTTTAAGCAAAATTAAATCACTAATTGGTTCACTTAGTGGCAAAATTTGTCCGAGAATGGGTGGAACCTCCATGGCCGCCGATGTCAAGTTTGCCGGATTTATTTTTTCAGATTCGTGGAACTTGGGACAGTAAATTGATCGGAGTTCCTGTTCACCACCAACATGGTTTGGAGCATTTTTGAAGGACTTCCAACAGTTGAAACGAACCGAAATCTGAGATGTCAGTATATCCAATTTTTAGTCTTTATAACAAGGTAGGACAAGCCCAAAATATACGACCCCGCAAACCCCGCAAAGGTTCAACATTCCATCTAACGGAGCAACAAAAATGTATTTCCATGTACTGAGAGAAGATTACTATCAACATTGCTATGCTGGTTTTAGAATAATCTTCAACAACTGTCTAATGACTGTTAGCCAAAGCATAGATTTCCGCAAACATGATAACATGATGCTAGTGAAGCCGACGATTGAAACGGTCCTAAAATGACAAAATATCTTGTGGGCTAAGTTTCACACTCACACCAACGGCATAATGATCCGGGCACTTTCTCAGAGAGGTTCGATGAAATTGACATGAACGGATGAAGCTACTTTGTTGATATTCACCTTATCAATGAGAAATAAGAAGCAAAAGATCAGCAAATCAACAAATTGGAGAAATTAGCTACTCAGGTGACTCCACTACGTACGTGAGAGTATAAGAAATTTGTGTAAATATTGGTCACGGCCTTAGGAATTTATTGATGAGAGTAATTAGTAGTAATATGTTTGGTGTCTTTTAGAAGTGTAAAAACAAAAGGGGTGACAGAGGATTTTGGCATTGAAGAAACGTTATCATCATCACTACGAGCGAGCTTATATTGTGACGTAGTGGATGATATGATCTTCTGGGTCTATAGTACCATCGTATATCTTCAGGTACGGTGGCATTTTGAAGGTTTTTAGAATGGCGTGGGGGGTTGCTTCTTCATTGTATGGTTGCTCGATAAATCGGCCAACGTCCCATTTTGGTAACAACTTTGGGGCGCCTGGTATTTTGTCGACCCTTTCTTGATGCTCCTTCACCTGGTCACGGAGCGCCTTACTCTCATTTTTCATTTCCTCCATCTTCTTTAGGATGGCTGCGAGTGCTTCATTACCTGTGTCAACAGTAGTATGAGTGTTACCTGTGCGGGGGGCATCTAGTTCGCCGGCGATTGTTGCGACATCTATGTGTGCAATGTCTCCATTCTCCCTTTGAGCGGGTTTATCAAGTATGTTGTTCAGAGTGTTTGTCAGCCACTCTTCCAGTAATCTTCTTACCGTCGGTGGTGC